TCCTCAAGCGATTTCGTTGTCTACCGGGGTAATCGTCAAGCGGGGCACCACTGTATTGTCTTTTGTTGTCAGCTGCCTTGGGTCCTTTTAAGGAGAAAGATGGGAATGAATGAATGAATGAATATTTGAGAAATGACTTAAAAGGAAGGAGTTTAATGCCAGCCTCTTGACTCTTGCTCTTTGAGGTTGAGAGCCCTGCAAATAACTTATTGACACTGATGCTTCACTCTTTCAAGTCTGTTTAATCTCAGAAATGGGGTATATTTTGAAATCACCTGTATGATGTGTTCAGAGCTTGGAAGTATCTTCAAGATATGTAATTACATGTAGTTAGCTACCTTTTGGTTTGAATAATACAACTGCTAGTTAAAAACTTTATTTTTTGTTGTTGCAACAAGTAGCACCAAAATTACTTAGATATGGCAAATAACACTTGGTGACTTGAAAATTATTTAAAAGATTTAAGGCATTTTTCAAGGCATTTTGACAGGAAGTCTTCAGATTGATAACCATTCTGTTATCAATCTGAAGTGGTAAGGAAATCATTATTTGATTTCGTGCTTTGTATTTTTTATAAATATGTCCAAGGTACAATGCCAAAATTGGACACTAAAGGAGACCAAAAGTATTTCCATGTATTCTTTAGGCCTACTAGCAATGACAATATATTTATAACATACAGTACAAAGAATTTCCTGCACAAATGGAACAACAATAATAATATTTCAAGCTCTAGGATTTATTCATTGTATTTAGTGGTTTGTAACCCATCTTTCTCCCAATGAGTAGACCTGCTCTCTTTTTTTCCTGCTCCTGGATTCACTGCCTCTGGTAATTTCAGTTTATTTATCTCTTACTATTTGGAAAACTTGGGTTTTCTTCTTAAAGTTCCGTGCTCTTTTTTCCAACTCAGTTGCCTAAATGTTCGTTCATGGCAAATGTGACTAATCTAAACCAGATCACATTTCATTATTTCTTGTGGATAATTACAGTAGTTAAAACTTTTAGCAGCACTTAGCCCAATAAATTGTGATATTCATATTACATTCTTCAACATTAGCGCTAACTGTGGTTTGAGTCGTACTAGCAGATGTCTAATATTTTCAGGAATGTGTAGATTAGACCTGTTTGCAGTGCTATAATTTTTAAAAAAGATCTTAAAGAGCCTCGTGGCGCAGTGGTTAAACGCTGTACTGCAGCTAAAACTGTGCTCACGACTTGGGGTTCAAATCCCAGGTAGCCGGCTCAAGGTTGACTCAGCCTTCCATCCTTCCGAGGTCGGTAAAATGAGTACCCAGCTTGCTGGGGGGGCAATGTGTAGCCTGTATAATTAAAATTGTAAACCGCCCGGAGAGTGCTTGTAGCTCTATGGGGTGGTATACAAGTCCAATAAATAAATAAATAAATAAATTAAAGGAGCAGGTCTCTATTGTTACTGCAGTGGCTGTGTTGTTATGGCTGAGGGCTACATTTGAATTTGACTGGTAGACTGCAAAAAATAAAAAAATTAAAAAAATCCTGATCCCCCTCACAAAGGAGGCCCCAAACCTATGCCACCTTCTTTAATCATTAACGTTTTCTTATAGTCTTATATTTTTCTTTAAAATTTACTTTTTACTGTAATCAATTTCACCGATTAAGGAAATGTTCACTCAGACAAAGTACTACCTGGTTTCCAGCTGAATTAATTGGTAGTTGGAAACCAGGAAATAATTAGGCCAGGGGCAAATTTCTAAACTTAACTAGGTTAAGGTTAAAAAAAGAGTTAAAGTAAAGATAGGTGCAGTAAACAATCATGAATGACTGAAAATATTTAAACAAGGTGCTGTAGGTTTAAAAGACAGGAAATATAAAGTACAATCATGTCACGGCTGGGAGCCATGACATTGGTTTTTGAGAAGCAGATCATTCTGAGGGTTTTAATATTTTGATGGGTCTTCAGGGGCTACAGAGGTTAGCTGGGACAGCATGATGCCCTCCTCATGATTTATTGTGAATGACTTTGTAGTCTAGTCTTCTCATTTCTTGGCTAAATACTTCCTGCTCTGACATGGTTGTATTTTTTGATTAGCTGGAACCTGTTGTGTCCAAGTACGGGAAACTGTTTTATGAAACTAACTTCTTTCAACAAATTGTGGTTAAGATGATTTTCCGCGGCTTAGGGTTCACATATAACACTAAGCTGTGATTAAGTGAAATCAGAAGTAAAAACTTCCACCCTTCTTGTGGCTGTGTTAAAAAAGAAGAGGTGAGGGAAATGTGTGAGCTTGTTGGGAAGTTAAGTTTCTTACAGTATCGTGGTAAACTATACTGTAGTTTACTGTGATATTTGAATACAGCTTCTGTGTTTCATAAAGAGAGTGAGAAAGAGAGTTTTAACAAAAACAGATGTATCTAGGAGTCTTTATGTAGAAAAAAGTTCAGTGATAATAGTACACTTTACTTCCTTTAAGTTTCCTCACTGAAAGTAATCCAGATTGTAATTAATGATAATATGTATCATCAGGTCGGTTTCAACTTATGGCACAGGTCTATGCAGAAAGTCGTCTTTATTTTCATGTCAAAAAGCCGTGAAAACATTTTGTTTTTTTACCACGTTTGAAATCCTAATAGCCTTTGATAAAATAAATAAAAATAATTGGTATATTTGGAAAGCAAAACAATTTTCTAATGATGACATAAGTCTTACACATGGAGGGAGAAAATCAGTATTTGGCAAATAAAATCTCACCTTTTGGGAAGAGAAAACAAATAGGAACTTCAAATCTAATTAGTCTGGTCAGAAATCTGGTGATTGCTTTACTAACATGTAAATGGCAACCATTGTTGTGTTTTTCTTACATTACATTCTTTTGCTTGACAAACCAATTCTCTAAAATTAAGGCTGCAGGAATACAGTGGTGCCCTGCATAGCGACATTAATCTGTTCCGGATTAATCGTCGCTATGCAAAAACATCACTAAACGGAAGGTAAAAAGCCATAGGAACGCATTAAACTTCGTTTAATGCGTTCCCATGGCTCCAAAACTCACTGTTCAGCGATGTTCCTCCATAGCGCCGCCATTTTCGCACCCTCGGAAAGCGAGGGCAGGGTGCGAAAACACTTGCAGCAGCCATTTTGGGCACCCGGCGGCCATTTTGGAACCGCTGATCAGCTGTTTAAAAAAACATTGCAATGCGAAGATCAGTAAGCGAAATGCTTACAGATCATCGTAATGCGATGTTTTGCCTATACAGAACATCGCAATGCGATCGCATTAGTGATCTAAAAAATTAGATCGCTATGCGAATTCGTCGTTAAAGGGTGCGCTCATTATGCGAGGCACCACTGTACCTGCTTATGGAAGCACTCCTTTGTGGCCTCCGTGGGTCTCACTTTTGATCTTAAATGTGTAGGCACACATTATAAGCCATACAGATTTTGCACTGATACTGATATAAGACAGGGTGGGCAAATTATGAGAGGGCCGTGTTTTCCCTCTCCATTCTCTTGGAGGTCCACATACTCCTATGACATTAACAAATCAGTTTTTAAAAATTACAGTCCAGAAACTGATCCAGAAGCTGGAAGTTGGTTCTTTTGCTATTTTTTAAAAGAAACAGGAAGTGACAAGAAGTAATTTTGGTTTCTAGATAAGGTTGAAACAGTTTTATGCGCAAGGGGAGCTAAATAGCACTGTCCATCTTCAGAGGATGCTATTTGCCATTTTATAGAATGGTGATGGGCAGGGAGCTGTGTTGGGTCTGATAAGGTGACAAAAAGCACACTGCATACTTTGGTTATCATAGAATCATAGAAAAGCGAAGTTGGCCTACAAGGCCGTCAAGTCCAACCCCCTGCTTCATGCAAAGGACATGTGGGGATGTTTCATTTTTCAAAAGTCTGCTTTCTCCGAATACCCTGGGTACCCTGTAGATTAATGCATCATCAGTGGTCTATTTACTGAATTTATATCCCGCACCATATGGCAAACAGGACACTCTGGGTGGCTAACAACAATATCAGCAACAATATTAAAACACGATAAAAATAAATTAATACATAATCAAATAGGGTAAATGAAAACAGATGGTAATCAAGGTGGTAAAATGGGGTGATGGAGAGGATGGTAAAAGGGATGGTAAAAGGGAGGCCGAGATCTTAATGCGTCGGGAAGGCCTGGCGGAAGAGCCAGGTCTTCAATGCTCTTTTGAACCCATCCAGCGAGGGTGCCAGGCAGAACTCAATAGGTAGGTTGTTCCATAGGCGGGAGGCGACCGTCAAGAAGGCCTGGTTTCTTGTTCTTTCCTTCTGGGCCTCCTTCAGGATCAAGGCCCTCAACTGCCCTGCCTGTGAAGGACAGGTATTACAGACAGATCTGACTGGGAGCAGGTGTTCTGATAGGTACCGAGGTCCTATACCATTTAGGGCTTTGAATGTTATCATCATAACCTTGAAGTCAATGTGGAAACGAACCAGTAGCCAATGAAGGGCAGCCAGAGTGGGGGAGATGTGCTGGAATGTCTTCACCCCAGTTACTAATCTGGCCGCTGAATTCAGGACCAGTTGAAGTTTCCGCATCAACCTCAAGGGTAGCCTCACATAGAGAGCACTGGAGTAGTCTATTCTTGATATTACGAGGGCATAAATCAGCATCGTGAGTGCCCCCACGTCTACATAGGGACACAGCTGGGCAGTCCTCTGAAGATGGAAATGGGCTGCCCAGACCACAGATGCCGCCTGGTTTTCTAGGGTGAGATCTGGCTCCAGGCAGATGCCCAAGCTGCAAACCTCACTCTTTATGGGAAAAATCACTCCCCCATAGGAGAGGGAGTTTCCCAACCCACTGACGCCAGGGCCGTCCATGAAGTTTCATTGTTATATTACACTAGAAATCCTTTTCTTCAATACTTTGTTCCTCCAGACTTAATTTGTGTCAAAATGTATAAAACAAAAAATAAGAACTGGTTTGAAATATTTTCTCTTACAGTATTTGCTTTTTTTCTCTGTTACAGCGCTTTGCACAACTTTCAAGATGGAAATGGTGCCTTATGACTTCGTGTGCTTTGCACTCCACAGTATACGATCCAAAAGAGAAGGTAATTTTTGAGTGTTAACATGTTGCTGCCTAATGCAGGCTAACTCATACCTTCCAACTTCATTGGCAGTAGCAGAAAACTGCCGTGGTAGAGTTGGAGAACCACTTTATGCTTTCTCCCTATTGTGAGTTTGAGATTTGCTGGTAATTCTGAGCTACCTTCTTATTTTGTAAGTGACAGTTTTCAGTTCCTTATATTAATTTTTTTTCTTGGGGTCTGCAAATGGTGGGTAGCCCTACATAGAGAGCACTCCAGTAGACCATGCCCTGTCATAGAATCTCCTGATGATTTCAAAAGCATTCTTAGATGGATGTATATTGGGATGTTGATTGTTTGGTACTATTGGGCATGACTCACTAATTTTTTCTGTTATTGGAAAACCCAGTTCACGAGTCAGACACCAGCAAAGTACAGTGACTAAACCTCCAACAAAGAAAAATATGGAAAATATAATTGAAATAGTAGCATGTACACTAGGCTGTTTCCTTGCTAGTTTGGGCCAGTGCTTGTATAATGGGTGTACAGTGGTGCCTCGCTTAACGAGCGCACCGTTTAATGACGAATCCGCATCGCGATGTCGCTTTTGCGATCACAAAAGCGATCACATTGCGATGTTTACATAGGCAAAAACGCGCATTGTGATGATCGGTAAGCGTTTCGCTTACCGATCTTTGCATTGCGATGTTTTTTTAAACAGCTGATCGGTGGTTCCAAAATGGCCGCCGAGTGCCCAAAATGGCCACCGCAAGTGTTTTCGTGCCCTGCCCTCACTTTCCGAGGGCGCGAAAATGGCGGCGCTATGGAGGAACTTCTCTGAACAATAAGGTTGGGCCCCATAGGAACGCATTAAATCCTATGGGTTTTTTCGATCAGTTTAGCGATGTTTCTGCATAGCGATGATTAATCCGGAATGGATTAATGTCGCTATGCGGGCCACCACTGTACAATCTTAACAGTTTATAAAACATTGGGAACAGAAAGCAAGATGCTCATATAATGAATTCCCCACATCTGCCTTAATTTTGGATTAACAGGTGCATCTGAATCATTGTTAACCACGGGCAGGATGCCTAGTGAAATAGGAACTGGCAGTTAACAGGGAATGTGAATGCCATCATATGTCTCAACCCTGGTTTAAGGCAGAAGGAGATGCTAAGAAGGATAGTGCTAACCCACAATACTGTTTTCCTAATTTTTATAGTGGTTAAGAGATCAAACTTTTTATGTATGCATAGGAACTTCGTGTATATGTGAACAAACTTCAGATATAGCTTCTTTATTGGCAGTAGTTGCATGATGTGATAAGATAGGGATTGGAGGGAACCCTGACTTATCAATTACAAACAATGTATTTGTGCATGCTGTCTCATTGTTCCTGCTTGCAGCGCGAGCAGCTACAGAAATCACACAACTTTGCACATTACAGTGATGCCTCACTTAGCAACGTTAATCAGTTCCGGAAAGAACATCGCTAAGTGATTTCATCGGTAAGCAATTTTAAAAAGCCCATAGAAATGCATTAAAATGCGTTTAATGCGTTCCTATGGGCTTCAAAACTAACCTTAAGTGAAGATCCTCCATAGGGGTGGCCATTTTCGGTGCCTCTTAAGTGATGCAAAACAGCGGGTGGCCATTTTGAAACCCCCAATCAGCTGTTTAAAAAGGGTCGTGGGGAACTTCACTTGAACTGTTTGCATTGCAAAAGCGGGAAGGAGCTACGTTCTGCTCTCCTTGTCGAGGGACCCTTTTCTCCTTCTTTCTCTTTTTTTTTTGTCCCCCACCCGCCTGCCTGAGCCCGCCACTGCTTTCCTCGACCGAGTGTGTGGTGTGTGTGTTTGCGTGTGTGTGTGTTTGCGTGTGTGTGTGTGTGTGTGTGTGCACGTTCCCGTTCCCCTCGCCCCAATGGAGCCCAAGGCCATTGAGCCTGGCTTGGAAGAGAATGAGAAAGAGCGAGAAGGAAGGGAAGGGAAAAAAAGAGAGAAGGCAGGGGAGGGGAGGAGAGAAGAGTGGGGCCACGCTCCCTGTGTTGCCTAGTCTGGAGCGGGAGCCTGGCAGCGGCGGAGCAGCAGCAGCAGGAGCCTGCTGGTCTGAGGAGAAGTCAGCCCCGTAGCCCTCTCTGCTCCTTGGGCGCACATCCCCAGAGCATTCTTCCCCATGCCTTTCTGAACCCTTGCTAGGGGCTTCTGCTTTTTTGGTGTAGATAGGATTACTCCGCTTTGGTCTGTTTCCAGAGTATGTGATCACTGGGAACAGACCAAAAGTGAGCCTTGTAGCTATGGATATCCTGAGCCACTTCAAGATATTGGCAAATTAAACACTTCCAGGCTTTGACCCTCCTGGCTCAGGGGGGCAGGAGGTGGACCTGTGGGTGTCCTGATGGCCCAAGTGGCCGCAGAGGCACCCCTCGCAAGAAAGGGGGGAGGACGGACTCCGGGCTAGAAGGCGAAAGGGGGAAGCTGGTGGAGGAGAGAGTGGCCAGTGGTGGTGGTGTCTCCTGGTGGAGGGTGGGCTTCCACGGGATTCCTTGGCCAGGATGAGAGGCTCCCCCTTAGCCCCCCGCTGCTCTGCTCTCCGGGTGGATCCTCCCCCCTCCCCCCGGACGTGCAAGGGTCGCTTTGCCATGATCGCAGAGCGATTTTCCCCTATAGTGGCCATTGCTAAGCGATCGCTCTGGCGATGGCCAAAACTCCATCGCTAAGCGATTTCATTGCTAAACGTAGTGATCGCTAAGCGAGGCACCACTGTACTTTCATTAGTTGTCCAAACAAGGGCATGGGGCTATCTGGTTTGCTCCTCTGCTGACAAACCTGGGTTCTCTGCCTTGTTTAGTGGGAGACAAACAAACCAGAAAGATAACTATGCCTGCATTCAGATGACCAGTTAAACAAACAGTGAGTAAAGATCTGTGGTTTGCTTAGTAAAGCCAGTGGGAATAATTGGGCAACATGCATCAGCACATTGTTCATAACTGATCTTGCGGATTCCTGGCTTGACATGTCATGTGATCAAAGCTTGTACGTTTAGCAGCTCCTTTAGCAAATCCTCCTCCTTGAATTAGGAACATGTGGATATTTGTCTTATAGTCACATGGATTTTTTTTCTTTCCTCTTCTTTAGACCTTTGAGAAACTTCTGATTGCCAACAGAGGAGAAATAGCATGTAGGGTAAGTATAACTTAATATTGTAATTCTTCTGCTCTATTCTTGTTGTTAGGCTAAAACACCTTTTTCCTGCTTTCTTCCTGTTGCTAGGTAATTAAAACATGCAAGAAAATGGGAATCAAAACAGTTGCTATACACAGTGATGTTGATTCCAATGCTGTAAGTATATGTCTTGTATTATAAAAATTCCTATTTGACTACCTCCACCAATCAATCAAATGTAAATCTTTCAAGTATGTAGTTGTTTTTCGCCATTGTATTAGGCTATATTTTAATGATTTATTTCAAAATGAAACAAAAATGTGATAGCTCCCCTTGTAGGAGCAAATACTTTTCAGTAAGTATATTTGATTACAAATTTGGTTGTAACAATGGAAGAGGAAGCCAAAAACAATATTCCAACTTAAGAGTAACAATATCTATGGTGTATTTTTTCTTATCGTGTTAAAAATGAGGGTTCGGCATGCTTACTGAAGAGCTAGAGCCAAAAGAATTATCTTCGGTTTTGTTATAGCCTCTATATAATCATTGTGCCTTAAGAGAGCTGTATATATCCTTTATCATTTGTAGTTCAATTCAGTGAGACATTAAGGAAAATGTTTTCTTCTCACTGAACTGGTTTAGGGGCATGAAGTTAATACGTAAACGATAGCACAGAGTTAAAGTTTTGTGCCCAGGAATTGGAGTATTACAGAAATGCAGAAGAATATTTAGCTTAGTTGGTTTAGAGCAAATAGGCAAGGAAGTTTTCTTGCTCTAAACCAACTGTTAATACAAATTGGAGATCAATTAATTAAAAAATTAAATCTTCACTGATGTGTAACAGACTGTGAAACGCATTTCACTTTTTGCTGAATCTTGTCTATTTAGAAACTAAACACATTAAGTAGTGCTGAAACGATTGGCTAGTTTATAAAATTTCATGGATTTAGTTTCTGAACTAGTAAAGTTAATAAAATTCTGTGACCATGTGCCAATAGGCTATGTGATCAAGGCCTGGGTGACTCTTTGACATGGCCTGATATATTTCATTAGCGAGTTATCATATCAGCTCTGCAAAGCAATTAGGAGCTTGTTATGTAGTGATGGAGGAAGGGATGCATCTGTAATCTTCCACTGATAGTGGTTTTCAGTATACAGTATAGTCCAAATTTTCTCTTTCAGCCATAGATTACAGTTATTATATTGTCTGTGTTCCATATTTAGCTTTGGTAATACTTGAAAATACGCTGCTTCTTCTGACTGGAATCTCATGTACTAGTGGAATACCATGCCAGCTATTTTAATGGAGCTGAATGGAATGTTACCTTAGTAATATCTGGATAAATGAATCACATGTTCAGATTATATGGAACATTAGCACACTGGTCCCAGAAAAGGTGTGGCATACTGGTATGATCATTTGTAATTTCTTGAGTCCGCTTTAGAAAAGGATCATGGAAATCAGCCCGAGGGAGGCAAGCAACCATCCTGCTTTACTGATGTAAGAAAAGGTCTTACTCAAATCTTCCTCTTAGAGGTAGCAACATATGTAGAGAAAGGCCATTAGTTCTCTGAGCTCAATCGATAACAGAATGAAGGAAGGATAAATTTAACTTGCAGTTTTAATGAAAATGTCTGTATACTAATGTGACAAACCCAGACCTACTAGGATATGTCACACAGTTACACTAAGCTGCCACCAACCATTCCCTTTAAGAAGTCACACAGACCAGGGATGGATTTTTAAACAATAAAAAGAATAAGGTTTATTTAAATACACACAGGGAAAAATAAACAATCAGGTGAATAAGATGAAGTAACGTGGCTTATTCTCACTCATACAAGCATACAGTTTGGTTCACACAGAACCCCTAACTTGTAGCACAGACCCTGAACCTATCAGTTCTGGCTAATCAACAGACACCTGAACCTATCAGGTTGGTACTCTGACACACAGTAGTACCCTGTCTGACACACAGACTCCCACAACAGCTTCTTCTTCCCAGCTGCTGCCTCGTCACAACCCAGTGTCTCTCAGCATCTCCCAGTATCTTCTCCACACAGGCATCACATATATATATAGTACAGCCCCTCCTCCTGATGTCCCGCCTTCCACTCCCCATAGGATGGAACTTTCCCTCCAAACCCATGACAGACAGGTAACATCAGTGCTGTATGTAACAACTAACAACCCAGTTAGTATAACACTAACTACAAAACAGAAGAAGTTCTTTGATTGCCTTGGTTTTTGTTTAACTCCTTCAGAGAGCTTCAGGTGTTGTATATAGATGTGGATGAAGGGTTGCCACCCCCCCCCTCAGAGGCCACCTTGACCCCTATTAAACCCATCCAATGCCCTCAGGGCCTAAGGTGTTGTGGTGGAATGCCCACGTCACTTCTGTCCATCATGTGGAGCTCAAGTGCAGGAGCCTATGATAGGACAGGAGGGGCGGAGTTAGAGTGACAGTTGAGGGATTAGAGGGACAGGTAGAGAGATAGAAAAGAGAGAGGGGATGGAAGTGAGAGAGTTAGGACATTGAATTGAGAGAGTTAAGACAGGGATTGGAAAGTTGGAGTGAAAGAGAATAGGAAAGAGTTAAAAGGAATAGAGAATAGATAAATGATTAAAGAATATTGTTAGAGGTTACTGTGAATAAAAGCACATACAAGGAAAGGTGTAATCAAATCCAATTTAATGAATGATCCTCAACAACTGTGATTTACATCTGAACTAAAAGATCAATAAACCTGTTATATTGGCAGAACATGTCTGAGATATATTTGATATAGTGTGGACTAGATCCACTGGTGGCAGCGTGAGAAGAGGCAACACATCCTGAGGGTGGGCCTGTGTTTGGGGAGAACAAACCAGGGGGATGCAACAGGTGTTTTCATAAAAAACAAAATGAAAAAAACATTTCATTTCTGGAAGCCTCCAAGAATGACACAGCCCCTCCCCCCCATAAAAAAGCAACTCCGTGTTTGACCAGTGGAAGTTTAGATTTTGTAAAATGTTTAATGATTTTTTTAAGTTTAGTGATTCACGTATGTTTATTGTCTATTTTATATTATTGTGGTGTTTATGCTGCTATTATTTTCTTATTTTGTTGTTAACTGCCCAGAGTGGCTTTTGCAGCCAGATGAGTGGTGTACTAAACAAACAAATACATACATGCATACGTACATTTTTTACAAAAATAATTTTCAGGACTGTTATGGCCTTCCAAATCTACCAGGGGATAATTGCTGTCAAGCCCCATTAATTTAGCTCACTCTTGTTGCATACCCAATAGTACAGAACAGGGTTGTAAATTTTGAAGTACAGTGTTTGTCATGATCCTCTGCATAGTTACATACACAAGGAGAGCCCAACCGTACTGTCAGTTCTGATGAATGCAGTATATAATACATTATTACCCCATTAGGATTGGCTGTCAGTCATAGAGTAGTGAGCTTGCAAAAAGCTGTATGGTGTATCCTGTGTTGGCCTTTGGGTTGAGAGACTTGAAGGGGCAAGAGAGAGATGCAGCATCTCTGAGCAACGTGAGATAATCAGTTCAAGATTTTAGAAGAGTTTATTTCTCCAGCATGAGGAAGAAATCCATTTTCCCCAGCTACTCTGTTGCAGTTCAGTTAATTATTAAGAAAGAACACAGCTAACCTCGAAGTATCTTCCTATTTTAACTGTCTGTATGACTGGTACAGAGTATTCCACATCTAATGAGCATATTGTTGTGTGTTCATTGTGTGCCTTTACATGGTAGCTTTAAATGGGAGGTTCTCAGTGAGGTGGTTCTTTGTTGACACAGTTCTCTAATGCTGTAGCCATACATTTAAACAGCCATACTTTCTTGGAAGATTACATTGGTTACATAGACTTATTTTTACTTAATTCATCATTTAAAATTAACACCATCATGTGCAGTGTAAAGACTGTCTTTCTGTTTTCCACTGGCAAATAAGTCTTTGAGCCCAAATAGAATGGGTTTAGTTTTGAGTTCACTGAGGTTTTACATTGTCTACGAGAAAGGACTTTATGTTTCTTCCAATTCTCAGATTATGAGTTATTGCAGGTGAAATCCAATACCTTTGTTACTTGATGAGATCTATTTCTTTATCAGTGGAATCCCTCTCCCTTACATGCTGAAACAACATGCAGATAGCAAGGTCTTAAGGACCTCCTTTCCCCATTCTTCTCTTCCCCACACTTCTTGGTAACATCTGTCATAATGAAGATACTCTTGAAAGCTTGTACATTTGTACTTGTCTTTTTCTGTTTTTTTCTTAAATATATAGGTTTTGTGTGACTGTGTGTGGTCTCCCCCCCCCTCCTATTGGTCTATAAAGGTTTTGCCTCAGTATGTGGGCTCATCTAGATAGGGCATCCATACTTTTCCTGTGTGTTTCTCTTTTCTCCTCTTTTCTGGAAGAGAGTTGGAAGTTTCAGGAATCATGGCCACAAGTGTTTCTTTTTAGTCATGGGAATGGAGAAAATCACATATCCAGCACTTTGCACATCCAGTCTTCCAGAGTCCTTTCTGCTTCCTCATATCCTAAGCTCTTCTCTTTTTATTTGATTGAGGATGCTCCACAGTGCTAACCTTCTCTCTCTGGGGACAGGAAGGTAGGATTACATCCTCTTTTTGTGGCATACGATCTTAGTGAGGCCCTTGTGGACTCAAGCAAACACGAGCAGTGAAAACCCTTCCTAAATTGAGTCGTTCTGGAAATGACAACAAACTCTGTTATCCAATTTACAGTGGTACCTCGGTTTATGAATGCCTCAGTTAACATAATTTTTGGTTTATGGATGAAAGTTCATTGAAAATACAGTGGTGCCTCGATTAATGGGCGCCCCGTTTAACGACGATAATGATTTTTAAAATGTCTTTATGAATTTTAGTGTGCAAACTGCCTTAAATTCAGTATCTAAATACTTAAAATAATAATTGTAGGTAATTATTGGGCAACCCAGAGTATTTTCTCATTGTGAGAGACTGTGAGTGGTTTGTGCACTGTGGCCTGGGTGGTTTGTGATTTGTGTGTTGTGGCCTGAACATTCAGTTTGCAAAACACAGTTTCAGGAATGCATGCAGTATTTAAGACCTGCCTTATGCCTGGGAGTCATCTGGCTCAGAAACTGATCGTAGATCCAAAAGAGAAACTTAGTGAGTACT